TGGGATGCTCCTGGGACTAAGCCTTGCTGTAAAAAAAAAAAAAAAAAAAAAAAAAAGGATACACCGCCATATTTTTCTCTTTTGTGCATGTGGTGAGTAGTGGAGTGAGGCCCATACTCCATATGGTCCGTTTTCACTTTTCTAACTTTTCTTCTTCTTCTTTTTTTGGGGGTAACTTCAGTAGAGTCACAAAAATGAGTTATAATTGCACTATGGGCCAAGATACAGTTTGCAATTGCACGGCAGGCACCCTACCTGGCCAGAAAGCTGGGTCGTATACATTGGGGCTCGCCACACCAATGGCGAAAACAGTTTTTTTTCACCAACTGTCAGACGTTTTTCGCCAAACGAGTTTTCGCCCAAAACCCCCCCTTCGCCGCACAGCAGTGTTGAATGTGGTGGTCGGTAGAGACGGCCGTGTTCAGGCACCGGTTTCGACACTGCTATGTGGCGAAGGGGGGGCACTGTCGGCAGTTGCTACGGGTTGATAGCGGCGGGCCGTAGAATGTCCGGGTTTGCGTCCCGGAATTGTGGGTGGTCCGACCCCCTCGCGGAATGTGGCGGAAGGCACGGAGCACCGCGCATCCAGTCTCCACGGGACCTCCAAGTCGTGAGGGATGGGCATGCAGGGGCCTGTATTTTTGCCGTGCCGGTCCACTGTAACGCCAGCGGTCCGATGTGTGGCGCGTGCATTGTGGGCGCTTCGATGGGCCTCCCTGCTGTGCTCACGCATGACGGTAGCTGATCCTCTTCGCTCAAGGGGCAGGAGCGGTCGGACCTTTGTGAGTGCAGGCCATTGGCCGACCGCGCGTGTTGCCGTCGGCTGGCTCTCCGCGACCACGGGTCGACGCTGGTTGGAAGGAGGTTGAGCAGCACGGCTCCGAGCGTGAATGTGCCCACGCGCAGTGTGCCCACCCTCCACTCGGGGACCACACCTGCATTCGCCGTCGGGGGCCATGGACAGGGCTCGGAGGCCATTGGCTGCCGTCATGCATCCACGTAGGCGCAACCTCGGACGTGGCAGGATTGCTCCTGTGCGCGACATTGCACAAACGGCGGTGGCGTTGGCAGTTGTGTGGCACATCCAAGAGATGGAGGCGGTTTTGCTGATTCTGATGGTTCTCATACGCCGATGGACCCGATCCAGGCGGCGGTCTGCAATCCGCAATTCAGTTGTTCTTGCTTCCGCCATGGCATTGTTGACGGGAGCCATGGATGCAATTTGCGGGGAAACAAGCGTTCGTAGGTGGTGGGTGAAGCCTCGGGCTGGGGGTGCATGGCAGAACATGCTGAGAGATGATGATGCCGGTGCCGATTACTGGTACGACAACGTCAGGATGGGCGAGGACACGTTTCGCGGCATTCTGGCGACGGTGCAGCCGTTTCTGGAGAGGACGCCGACACATTACAGGAATCCAACCCCTCCAGACCAGTTGCTGGCATACGCATTGTATCGGTGGGCAACCGGGGAGTCTTTCGAACATTCTGCAACTGCCTTCGGGTTGGGCCGCGAGACGGGGCGCATTGCGGTTCTTGATGTGACAAGGTCCATTCTGCAGGCGTATCCGGATGAGGTGGCATTTCCAACTGGCCAAAGGCGTGTTGAAGCTTTCGCGAAATTTGCAAGAAAGGGCTTCCCTTCATGCTATGGAGCCATAGACTGCACCCATCTTGGCATAGACAAACCTGCGGGTGTTCGGGCAAGAGCGTATTGCAATCGAAATCGTAAGTACTCGATAGTGGCGCAGGTTGTGTGCGGCGCCGATCTGCGGATATATGACGTGTTTGTGGGGTGGCCCGGGTCCGTGCATGACTCCAGGATTCTGCGGAACTCGACACTTTGGCGAAGAGCAGAGAGCGGACAATTGTTCACCTCCGACCCGGTTGAGCTCCCACGCCACGTCCGCACACGGGGATACCTGCTAGGGGACAACGGCTACCCGTCCCTGCCATGGTTGGTTGTTCCGTACGGCGGCCAACACCCGGATGAGAGCAATGAGAAAGTGTTTGATGACACCCAGAAGTTGCAGCGTGGCTGCATCGAGAGAGCATTCGGTCGTTTGAAAAACATGTGGAGGATGTTCCTCCGAACCCACAAGCCCCACATCAAGTCGTTGATGTTGCAGTTTCGGGCTGTATGCGTCATCCACAATCTTCTCATCAACGCGGGGGTTGTCATGGACCCAAGACTGAACAGGCGTGATGATGAGTCCTCTGATGACGAGGACGACCGTCCTGAGCCCCCCCCGCCCAATTTTACCGTGGAGGAGGCACGGAGAGAAGGTCACATTCTCCGCCATGCATTGTGTGCGCATGTCGCAGCCCACACCAGGGAGCGCCTGCTGCGGGCGGCCGCGCATGGGGTTGGAGTCAACCCTCGCATTTGAGTGTGACGACGTGGAGAGAGAGAGAGAGAGAGAGAGAGAGAGAGAGAGAGAGAGAGAGAGAGAGAGAGAGAGAGAGAGAGAGAGAGAGAGAGAGAGAGAG